GCTGCTTACCAAATTCAGGTACTTATTGTTCCTCGTAATATTTGTTTGATAGATAACTTAATGAATGAAAAGATGTTATTAAGTCACGACTGTGTATCATATTTTATGCTGCATCTTAAAATATAGGTTAGATTTTTGCAGTATCGTCACGTATTTCTGCATTTGTTGTTACAGGAAAGACTGAAAAGCATTAATCAACTAGTCCACGATGTTGAAAAAGCACGAGAACACTCAGAAGTCAATTTGAATAACATCACCAAGACGCAGGAAAAAGTTAATGCGGATGAAAAAATATCGCCTTTCTATCAGCAAAAGTTGAAAAGCCAGTACAGTTCAGCAGTCGTGGATGCCCAACAGGAGGAAGACTTGCTAAGGAAAGCCTTGGAAAAAATAAACGAGATCAGATCTATTAGAAATGAAAGAAAAATACAGGTAATGCAAGTGTGAATTATGCCACCACATACAAAAATGTTTCATGATAAGCTAGCTGTATTTTATTATATTCATATACCTTCATGTATCTGAAAATATGAACATAAATTAATCAAACACTTGTGAAGCTGATAAATACTTGATGACTACGACGTCTACGTACATTGATCAAACTTCTTTTAACAGCACATCTACATACCTTATATTTTTTTATGAAACTGCTAGCTAATTTCGTGCAATAAATTTAATAAATTATTAAATATCTATTTGAACTATTTTATAGACTAATTAAAGTATTTATTCAATATATAATTTTATCAACGTAATAATTCAAAATACTCAGTTCTATAATTGAATTACCAATAAACTAACTTTTTCACTTTAGGAAATAAAAAATTTTTTATAATTTTCAGGCCCGTAATGCAGGCAACAAAGAAACGATTAGACGAGGAACTCTCATGAAAATGTTGTTGATTTCTGCACAAACTTTGCCACTGTATGTTGGTAAGACGCCAGAAGCAAAAGCACCTCCACTTTGTGGAGCGATTCCAGCGGAGCCAAGCTATGTAGCCAAGGTTAGTTTTCCTAGAGATACTAGTATTTCATTGATTATAATCTTACGTAAATGCTGAAAAATATTTACTTATAGATGGGTGACATGGTGGCTGCATTAGTAAAAGGTTCAGAAGAAGAAGAAAACTGGATTCTTGCAGAAGTAGTGTATTTCAATTCTACAACAAACAAGTACGAAGTTGACGATATTGATGAAGAACAAAAAGATAGACACACATTGTCCAAGCGTAAGGTTGTGCCACTTCCACTTATGAGGGCGAATCCAGAAACAGATCCCCATGCTTTATTCCCAAAAGAGTCAATCGGTAAGAGACTACCTTATATAATTGTAAGTCATTACAATAAATCCTTGAAACCATGAAAAACCTTATTTTAGTTATGGCTCTGTATCCACAAACGACGTGCTTTTATAAAGCAGTCGTTAATCAATTACCCACGTCTGCCCAAGAAGAATACGAAGTTCTATTTGAGGATGCAACTTACGCTGATGGATATTCGCCTCCCTTGAATGTTCCACAGCGCTACGTGATTTCAATCAAAGAAAGCAAAAAGAACAAAAGTTAGTCGTGAATTGATCTTAACATTCGGTCTTTACCAGTCTAAGAGAAGACTTTTATCTGAAGTGTTTTTTTATAAACAAGTAATGCAAAACTTTTTTAAAGTGACTTTCTGTGAAAATAATCAAGTAGTTTACACCTGCTACAAAATTTTTATTTACACGTGTACATGCATTTAGCACTGTAGTTGCAAATTTATTTTTTATACATAAAACTGTGATTATTGTATACTAGTATGTTGAATATCTTTAACGTTTTCAAGTATGATCATCCGTCTTGCGTTCAACAAGTTGTACGTTTTATAAATCATTCATAAATAATATGAATAGATTGGAATGTGAATAAAAAACTGTTTGGTGATTCAACTATCAATAGTCTTCTTAATTTTTTTTATAATAGTACGTTTTCGAACATTTTTTCAATACCGCTGAAATAGTTGTAATATGAAATAAAAAAAACTTGATTGTATTACAAAATGAGTAGTCGTCCATTTTTATCGATAATGTAACTTTTTTATTTACATACATAGTTTAAAATAACTTCAGTAACAATATTAAAAGAGATTATTCCTCATGAGATTTCTCAAATCATATAGTTTTTTATTGTACTTCGCGCGAACCTGTTATTCGCATTCAAGCGTTTATCAATAATTCATGCGAAATACAATTAACAAACTTTTGTATTCTGGCATTTATTTACACCTAATAATTAAGCGTATAATAACAATAAGGATAATAATGACAGCACAATATCCTCGTCGTACAAATATAAATAATACGTTTCTATCAAAAATTAATGCATTTTGTACTAGAATGTATGTATAATATGTCCGATAATGAATTGTCATACATCGAGCTGCCTCAATAATGCTTAATAAATTCGTTTCATATACGTCCTGAATACGTTATATACGATACATGCATTTGCGTGTAAGTACAAATCTTCAAAAACTCAACTGAGGATAATGGGGAATTACATTTGCTTGCAATGTTTAAAGCTAACGCAATTTTTTCGTGCCCTCTGTTAAAAACTATGTTTTATTGTTCCATTGCGCACCTTCTAACTGTATGTATACACGTAAACGCAAAAGCACCTGTAGTGTTACACCTTATTGAAACTAATCCTTATTCTCGTTTTTTTTTCTTTTTTTTTTCATGATACAATCAAAGTAGTATGGGTGATAATGCTCTAGTGAAGGATGGATGGTACCTGCGAGTTAGAGCCTCCGAACAAGGTTTTTTTACACGTATGGAAATCTCAAAGACTTCTTTATTCACTGGCAAAGCTTTTAACATAGCCTGCACATCAAAAGCTACAATATACTAACGCACGACGCAACTCGTTTTTTCGATTAAGTTTACGTGCGAATGTTTCATTCATCGCGTTACAAGTATATGTATAATATTTCAACAATGGCCTTTTTTACGTCCCCGTCGGACCGTTTTTTATTTGGTTCCTCACGAGATTTACGGTCGTTCATTTTTTTTTTTTTTTACCTCGCGAGGCTCTTTAAAGCTACAAATGTAGAATCGAGGCCTTCTCGAATCGGCTGTATCATCAATGGGTTGCACATCAGTTATAACATGGTCAACTATTCGCACTAACAATAAGCGATTTTACAAATCGTCGCCGCTTATATCAAATATAATATATATACATATTGCTCGGTTTTGAGTTTTTCCACGAATTCGAACGTAAATGAGGACATGATTCATGTCAAAATAAAAATTTAAATAAAAAAAAAAACAAAAAAACTGATGCGAAGCAACATCTAAACTGTACTTATATCGTACGAGCTAATGAATTTCCAGATCACAGGACACGCTTTCTGTCACCATTTCCTGTTACAAAATGAATTTATCTACGTATACGAGCACTATGTACCTGCACTTGATTTCTCAACTTCGATTTAATTAATACGCGTATGGACTCAACTTGTGTTAATTTTTAATTGCAAAAATATGTACCGCAAGCGAGCATTTACATATTATACACACTCCACACGTTCCTTCTAATTTTCATTGAAAATAAAATAAGCTGCAAATAAAAAGTAATTGCACTAATATGTAACTTGTATTTTTTTTTTTTTTTTAAAGCTCATACCTATACAGAATCTTACAGATGCTTAGACCCGAAATCACTGTAATAATATCACGCACTCAGTTACACTGATACTCCATAAAAATATCAAAAGCGCAGTACGACGTAAAATACAATCAACTACGATGTAAACGGACAATGCGTTATTGTCTATTATATGCGACTAATGTGTGCTCGGGGTTGTGTTTTGTTGTCGTAAGAACTCAGTCAAATATTTTTAGCTGTTACCATAGCCATAAAAACCCATATATTATGTGGTCATAAAAATTATGTAAAAAATAGCTATAAATCAAACGCTTTTATGGTTAAAAATTACTACAAATTGCGTTGGCTGATGTCTGTATTAAGCTTTTTACGTAATGCTAACACACCTTAAAACAATTGTTTTGTCTTAAAGTTTTTCTTTTCAGCCATATAATTTATGGCTATTTTGTACACATTTTTCAAGTACTTTGTAGGTAACTAGAACTATTGTAATATATTACTGTGGCTAGAAATTGCACCTTGTTTTTATAGCTAAAAGTTTTCGACTGAGTAAATACACATACTTAGCGGTGGCGTCAACGATAACCATTTCATGGTTTTAATACAGCACCTGTAACGTGTGTGTTAAAAATCATATTTTTTAAAATTAACTATTGCGACGCGATACTCTGATGAGGTGTTTGAAAACATGATTTGAAGACATGATTGTTATTATCCTTTGAGGACGGCATGAGACCATGTTTGCAATGAATATTGATTCATTATTATAAATTCAGAGACTCTAAATGTGAAATTGCAAAAAAAGAAAAAAACATCATTACTAAGTTACAACCAGCAAAATAGTGAGAGTTTGACTCTAAAAGAAATAAAAAATGATGTCAACTGTTGACTCTTTTATGAAGATTATCTAGTTCTGTAAAATTAATTGTTGTATCTAACACCAATTTTTTGGTGGCAAAACTAATGGGTTACTGATATTATTATATAACATTAAATTACTAAAAATGGTATAAGTATATTTCGTACGACATGTTTAATGCAAAAATTTATAACGTTGATTTATTGCTATTTTGAATTTAGAGAATCGAGTTTTTACTTGTAACTACAAAATTTTCTGATCTGTTGTAAAACTTCTTTTTTCTGCGAAATGTTAAATTTCTTTTGTTTGTAATAAAATTGTACTTATAAAAAAATCATTATGACCATTAGTTTTCTTGTTACATTATTTCCCAGTTCAACAAAACTAAGAACACACGTATACACGCAGTGAAGCTACGAGGTTTACTCTAACATACATGTGTTTGGTCAGTTGATTGATGATCAATACGATTAACGCTGTTATCTATTTATTTTTATTAGTTTTTTTTTATAATCATTTACATATACTTGTACTATCTAAAAAATTAGGAATCGAACCTTTATATATTATATTAACGGTAGGTACAAGATGGGTGAGAAATTAGAGATATATTCGTGAATACGTAGAAATACAGACGTAATTGTCAAATTTTTTAACGCTTCTCTATAGTACATATATGTATTCTAGTGGATTGTAGTAAATCACAGATCTCGTGAGCTTTTCGAGTAACTTACGCGAGAAATCGAATGGTTTGTTTCACTATATCTTAGTAACTGTTGTAAAAATCTTGGTTTCAGCTCTATACGTATTTATTTATAGTTTCAGGTATTAGCTTAGGATATTTATATCAGCAATTTCAGTATTTCTTCGGGTATTCTTAGTAAAGCATCCTTTTTCTTTCGCTCAATTATAACTTGTTTGATACTATTTAGTATCTTCAGCTCGAGTATACCCAGACAAAAGTATAATGTTGAATAATTAAGGGTTTAAAAACATTGCGCTTCACGAATTCTCTTCCGTATCATTTTACATTTTGTTATTGATTAAATGGTCGTACGAAGTTGATGAGCTAGTATAGTGGGTACATCGCTAATCAACTGTATAAATCTGCTTAAAAATGAGTATCAAGTTATGTAAAATTTTCAATACTTAAATAAATTTTAGTAAAAAATATGTTAGAAAATTAAAATGCAATCCAAATTATACGTAATAATCCAAAGTAGTTGTAAAAACTCATAACAGAAAATAATAAAGTCCAGATTTGAGACTGAGAATAAAATTCAGTAACTATATAACTATTATTACTGTTTTTTTTTTTTTTATAAATGACAATCCCATATGAATGCTTCTTGCAAGTAAGTTGTACTTGTGTATGATCCACTTTTTTTTTATAAATGACAACTTGAAGTGTACAACAAAAAAGTAACTGATAATACCTGGTATGACCTATCATTACCTAAAACATATACCTAAACCCATGAAAGCTATTTTTAGTTATCAATTAAAACAAAATTTTTAAGAATCTGATGAAAGTCCTTATAAATTATTGTTTGTTTGTAAACATTGTTTATTGTCGTTATTCGATAATAAAATAAAATCACATTCTTCAATTTAATTTCTAAAAAGAAAAAAAGTTAACTAGTAGTAACTATTAGAAATATGAATGTTGTTGTAGTGTCAAATGTGGACTTTATTATTATTTTTGGCTACTTTTTTTATAAATAATTAAAGGAATGAGATAATTTTCGCTTGGGTAGTGTAGGTCTCTTTTTTATTGAAAAATGCGTAATTTTTCGTAATTTTCCATAATCATACGTGTCATATTTATCAAAACAAAAGTATCTATACCTTGTCCTCACAAACAAGTAATCAGGCACCACATAAAAAAATAATTAATAAATTAAATGATTCGTAAATTTCCATAATTTTTTATGTACAGTCAATCTATCAACTCATAAAAAAAATGTTTGCAGAAAAAGAAACGTAACAAAGTAAGTATGTACAGTATAAGTTAAACGATGCATAAGTAAGTGTATAATATATCTTAAGAAAAAGTTATCTTACGCGTTTCATTATTCAGAAAGGAAAGTGGAAATAACTAATAACAAATGATCAACTCCAGATTTGAGACGATAATAATATTCATCTTTCTAATAGTTATTATCAAGTATTGTTATAAATTTTTTGTACGCATAATTTCATTGTCAATAAGGACAATAATCAATCTTGTAGAAATTTATGAGAGAATAATAATCAACAAGAAGTTACAACTGAAGTTATCAAATTGTATTTTTAGTCCTCAATCTGGACTTAGTTATTTATTACCATTAGTTTTTACCATTTGTCACTAGTTATTCGTTAAAATAATTAACCCTTGCTATGTACAGCAAAAAAAGACGAAAAAATCGTAACAACTTCTCACGATAAAAATACGACTTGAAACACATATATGATGTATTCGTCGACTAACAAACCAAATCGCGACTGGCGGATGAATCAAGACGCGTCTAATGTGTTAGTCGCCTGTTTCACATGGCCTCGAGATGCTGGTGACTGGTGCTGTGGAGCGAGGTCCCGCCGCGCACCGACGCCTTACGGCTGATCGGCTCCAGATAGGAGGCTGGTGCCCAGCCCTCGATCCCGGCCCCGACCAGCTTGACGAACCACCAACCGGCGCAGCCGACCTTGAGCAGTTCCAACTGGTCGCCCTCGCGCATCGTCACCTCCGACTGGCCCATTGCGCAATAGTCGGCCAGCGCCACGTAGCGGCCGCCCTGTAATGAGATTAGGGAACCAAACGTGCGTTTTTCGATCAGATTTTATTTTTTATTCGTATAACTCTCTTGTGTACACACTTATGTGATATTTATAGTGCACTGACTGTCTAATAATGTTCACGCTTTCCTCCCTCTTTTTTGTTTTAATACTGTGCATCTAAAACTTGGCTTGTTATTCATTATAATCCCAATCAAAAACATCAATGCTGAATCAATGCTGAATCAACGTTGATTTTAGCGATAAATCAACGCTGAACCAACGTTGAATCAACGTTGATTCCATGAATGACGGAACACTGAAATCAGTCGTAATTTACATTGTTGATTCAACAATGATTCAACGTTGAATGAACACTGATTCAACGTTGAATCAGCTTTGAATCAGCGTTGATTTAAACGTTAATTTAATAATAGAAAAATATAATGCGTATTCAATACAGTTTAACATCAAATAACTGAACCCCCCTGTTTTGGTGTTACCATACGGATAATACCTCCATAAACGTCAATATATCTGCTCCAAATGTTATTATACTACTTTTTAACTTTTTAAAATTTAATTTTAACGTTTTGATCAACGCTGAATCAATGTTGAATCAACAATGTAAATTACGACTGATTTCAGTGTTCCGTCATTGAAATGGCGTGACTGCACATAACAAGCAGCTATTCAATTTCTCATCTTTTTGACTGAAACAACTTAGCTTCAAGCGTAGCTGAATCAGATATTTATATTTACATACATTTTTATGTTATAAATCCATACAAGGGTGTCTGTCGTTTTTCAAATTGTATTATTTAGTTACATACCCGCTAAAATCTCTTCAGAATCAAAATTCTGGGTAAAAGTTAAATTAACAGATACCGCCATTTGTATTTTTAATTCTCATCAAGTGGCGCGGCAAGCGGCACGTATGTGTCAGTTTGAGTAGCAGACGATGCATACTCATGTATTTCCTATTTCCAAAATCAAGTACTGTTTATTTTTCCTACCGAGGGCACACCCAACCCTCAAAAACGTCCGAGGTAGAAAATGGCACATTACGTCACTAGGGCACAAAGTACAAACGTGAGCGCACGAAGAGCGCGGTTTTTGTACGTGTGTGTCCGAGTGACGTATATTATTTTTCTTCCCAAAGGCACAAAGTGCAATTTTGCGCTCTCGAGCCATACTTTGCGCCAGATGGGCTGTTTTTTTTTCATGGAAAAACGGAATATATCTGGCAGTGCCTGATCATTTAATTTTCATTCATATTTTACTAGTAAGTTTCTAGTTTTGGATCAAAAAAAAGAGATTTTGGTGGGAATACAACTGAAAAATATAACTATGGAAATAACAGACACCCTAGTGCATTCAAAAGAAAAATAACCTAGCAAAGCACTTCGTTGGATCAAAACATGTTTCGGGAGGAATATAGTTTTTCTGAAAATCAAATCGAGTCACAGAAACAATCGGTGTAAAAAGTGCTACATTGTTACTATATTCCTTAGTTTTGGCCTTACTACTTAAATGATACCCTCGAAAGATACTAGATAGCCTACATTGTTTCTATTAAGCTTACTAAGCATTCGTAAGGTCATACAAGCGTAATTAGTATGTAAATTACAGTAACAAAATCGAAAAAAAGTTCGATGAAATTGCTTATGAAAATAATTATTTCCATATGTAGTAAGGCTTTTCAAAGGCTATATCTGATTCAGCTCTACAGAGTATACCTATTGTATGATGAATCATCCGGTAAATTTTGAAAATGTTGTGCACGAAGCTAATTTAAAATTCAACACTGTGCCTTTAATTTGTATAATTAATTACCGTATAATTCATCTAAAAGTATTTTGATGCCAACACTATTTGCAGAAAATAAATATAATCATAGATAAACATGTTCACTTGTTTAAATAGACCATTGGCTATGAAAGAGGAACACAGCAATGTAGTTTAGTAGTTATGCATTTGAAAATTCAGTAACGCAAATTTTTAAATGAATAACTTATTAACTTCATGTTTAACTTTATTTAACGCAATAATATAAATATAATAAAAGCAAAGCTTAACATATTTTATTTAAAATATAAAAGCAAAGCTCAATTATGCATAAGAAGGATTCCAAAAATTTGGTTCATCACCGCCTCAAAGCTCAGACATGCCACGCCATAGGATAAACGAGAGTATTATTGCGGTTTTTTTTAGTGGTAAGCTTAAAACGTTTATCTAAAAAATTCAGTTTGTCGAATTGTTGCAATGTTTTTTAAATTTTTTTTTATTAATGTTCGACTCAAAAACTAGTCAATTCCGCTTTTATAAGTGAATAAACCCATTAATATTGATTTAAAAAGAGGTTTTAAAGTTCAGTTACCAATGCTGGTATTACTGCTAACCTGTATATATTATTGGACACGTATTATTGTGGTCAATCTCAATGCTAAATCAATGGGGTATCCGCAATAATACCAACATAGTGAAGGAGGTTATGTGTTCACCAGTTATTGTGGACGTGATATTTTGTCATGCAAATGTAAAGCTTATAACGCTATTTTGGAACTGAAGTTTGGTTAATTCGATACTCTATAACTTAATTGAATGAATTCAAGTGTTTACTCACCATAACTCATCAGTTCAATTAAAATATACGCATTATTCGAGAGTACCGCAATAACACCCTCATTAACTCCCTAGTATATTTAGCTACACGGTATTCGCTGTGTGCAAGTCGATAGTGGGAGTATTGGTTGTCATATTTAACACGTATTTTTATGGAACAGTCCCAAAATTTTGTCACCGGCGGCCACGTGAACTACTTATATTCTATAAGATAGCAAATTCCCGAAAAATGGGAGTGCCATAACACTTGCACTCAGCGAATAGCAACTCATGAAAAACTTTATTGGTGGGGTGGAACAGTGGTAGTTATAACGTTATTAAAGATTCCAATTCCCACTGAAAAAAATCCTCATATTTATTGATGAAAATTTTGTCCCAAGTGAGATTTGAACTCCAGCCATGAATATCTGACAGCAGAAAATTACCATTGCTTTCTAGCATTTTCCAGTATTATTACTTTCACTATAAAATCATCGTGTTACAAGTGAACAACATTGTTTTTGTTTTTTCCTTGCTGGCTAATAACATAGTAATTAAAAATATTAGAAAAAGTTATCTTCGTACACAAATTTTAAGTAGTACCACCCACATGAAAACAAAAATTATAACTAGGCCACATAACCTCTTACGGGGCCATAATGACCTTTCATTTTTTTTAACACTAAAGTATCTTTGATCAGCAAAACAATTTTCTTCAGCGTGAAGTATTGCGTTTAAAACGAAAGATTTTTTTTTGCTGTTTCATCACAAAACAAATGTTTTAAAACTTGGGAGCAAGTGAGTATAACAATTTTTTTCCCGCTGGTGGTGCTAATTCAGATTATACTGCACGAAGCGAATACCACTCAAATTCAAGTACTAATGACCACAAAAAAATAGTTAGTTTGTTTTTTATACGCAGATTTTTTTCAAATTACATACTATGTTGAAGATTATTTAGTTTAGCTGGTGTTAAACTCTTTATTTAGCCAACGATTTATCAAACGTAACAAGCATAAGAAACTAAAGGATAAGTATACTTAAGACTTTACACGGAATCATTCGAATTTGTGACATTGAACAATATTTTATGACAAGTGAAAATAATAATCAAAGATAACAATACACATATGGCATGAATTATGATTTGAAATTGTATACGTGTGGCTTTTGTTGTTTGCTAACATCTACAGTCCAAGAAAATGACAAAAAAACCTCTGACTCTGGCGTTCCCAGTCAAAATTTTCCGGGATGTGAAGTTTGACTCCGTCGAACTTAAAAATTTATCTTTGGCTTGTTTGAATGTTATTTCTAAAAAGTAACAAAACCATTGCTTAATGTGAGAAATGTCCGTCAGTGGGAACGCAAATACAGTTAGAAGCAGAAAATATACAGAACTGATTCAACGCAAATCATACAAAACCAAAAGAAAAACTGTGAAATATTATGTCCTCTGTTTATACCATTCATGAAAAATGAGAAAAAAGTTTTTCGACATCAATCTCGAACCATCATTGTAATTGAATTTATTTTCTTCTTACGTTTACGTCAATGAAGTAAAAAAATAAATAAAGTATACTCTCCCTTAGTTACGATATAAAATTAATCATTGCATATTAAAGACAAGAATATGGCGGAGAAGAAACTTTATCGAATAGTTTGAATTATCTCATCGCTACGCGACGCACGCGCACAAAAGCTCAAAACCTCAAAAGTAAAAAATAAAAGTGATAACTTACAGGAGCCGGCCCGGCAACGTCGGCAAAGGCGTCCTCGTCGTCCGTATTGCTGTTTTCCGAGCTCCAGCCGACGTCGTCGTTTTCCGTCGACAATGAGGCATCTGTCAAGTGCGAGGTCATACTGTTACTGTCGACCGACAATGTCCGCAGCGAGCCCGACAAGCTGCTATGGGCATCCCATGAGATTGTCTGGCGCAGAGGTCTGAAGGGCAAATATCGTTTTTTAAGTATTTTATACGTCGATGATGGGGACTTGAAGTTCAAAATCGAGAGTTTTTCATTGAATCTTATTGTTTTTTCAAACCAACTAAGTAGATACAGAGGTTCCATGACTATGTGTGATACATGTATCAAAAAGCTAACGTAACGTGACCTTAACCACACCTTCACAATTAGGACTGCTACGATACTAGACGAGACGAAATAGTCTGAAATCTCGTCTCGTCTAGTCTTGTAGTGAGTCATAGCAGCGTTAGAGCTAGCATTATCGGGGCTAGCAGCGTTAGGGTTGCTACGAAACTAGATAAGTAAGACGAGATTTTAGGCAATCTCGTCTCGACATGAAGTAACTCAGTCTTGTCTCGTCTCGATCTCGTATCCAGTCTCGTGCCGAGTCTTGATGAGACTCGTTAAATTTTTATTTGGATTTCCTGTTAGAGGTAGTTCTAATAAAAGTAGCGTGTCGTTGTTATAGATTGTACTTCACGTGCAAAACACAGGCACAGCAACATTTGATCTTTAGTGTACGATAAATTTTCACTAAAGCTGCTTAAAACGGCAGATAGTTATCGAATTCGAAGCTTGATCCATCCAATATTAGATAAACTTTAAACTCGAAAGTGAAATATGCAATGTAAAAATTTAATATCATACATGTTAAAAATATAAATGTATAGTATAACGTATAACTAATTCATACACTCACAAATTGATTTTTTGTATATTTTTTTATATTTATTTATTGGCAAATTGATAATCAACCGTAGGAATAAAAAATTATTTTAGTGAAACAAATTTTTTTTCAGTGAAAATTCCACTTTTGACGAGATGCACATTCTGTCTTGTCTCGTCTAGTGGCAGCCCTGTTTACCATTGACTTTAATACAAATGTCGTATAGTGGGTCTGAGAAATCATTTCAATTGAAATGCAAGGCAAAAAGTTGAATTGACGTCATTTTAAGTCAACTTTTATTGTATCGTTCGACTGAATCCCTCTCGATGGTACCACTAAGTAAACGAAAATATTAAATAAAAAAATGAGCTGAAACAAGAAGACAAGCAAGGCCAAAAAAATCCCAAATCGATTCTAACCCATACTTATGGCCGGTTTTGCTAAGTAGAGCCGTATTCTGCTTGCCCTTGAGCTCCGCAAGCTGGGACATGAGGACGGCTTTGATCTGGCGCACCCAGGCGTGTTTGACATCGATGCTCGATGCTTGGATCGTGTGAACCTCCGAACGACCCTGTAGCCAAATTTCGAATCTTCTAGTGTCGCCTTTAACAGACTCCGTCAAACCGATTTGTGACGTCTAAGATAGCAACAAAAAATTTAATGACAAATCATCAGCCTTTATTATTATCATTATCATTATTTTTAATATTATTATCATTATCATTATCATTATTATTAATATTATTATTATTATTATTATTATTACAGGTGAAAGAAACCTACTTTTAAATACCGCTTGAAATGGTAAGTTGCTTTGGTGTGCGCTTGAGGCTTACTGTGCTTGCAAAATATCACAGACTTTTCGTACAAAAAAATGTGCCGCTGCGATGGCTTAAGGCGAAGCAGTCGATCCTTCTTATTGCTGCTCCAGACGCTAAAAGATCCCTGCAGAAGGAGCTCGCCCTGGGCACTCAAGTCACCCTGCATTAACAAAAGATTTTCGTTTTGTTCAGATTTGCCAAAAAAATTTCATCGTTTTATTCAGTATGAATTCATAAATTATTTAAATCACGCATAAAAAAAACGGTTCTTAAGATAAGATAATCAATTGATTTTGAAACAGTTAAATCTCAAGTAATAATCATCTTGGTAAATAACAAACGATAAGAGATAACAACCAACAATAAAAATAGGAAATTCCAGATTTAAAACTATAAAAATAAAATTTCATTACTGTTGTTATTAGTTGTTACATGTTATTTTTTTCTATTAACATTCAAAATGACATCTCAGAAATTAAAAAAAATCTAAAGACTGATAACTATTATTAATCATAGCTTATTTAATCTATATTATTGCTCATATAATTAACTATTCTTTGTAATTTAACATAAAATTTTCTAGTAACAAATAATAATTCCATGAATAATATATAGTTACTCATAATTATTCTTTGTTTATGTTACCTAATGCCAGAACACCGTAATCATAACTCAGATCTAATAAATAAATAAATTAGTAATTACTAATAATAGCTATTGAAAAGATTGCTTAGTAGCAGGTGACAAATTGATGATAAATTGTACAGTCTCAAACGTGAATTGGTTTTATTATTGGTTCTTTTGTAACCTTTATTTATAACGATTAATAATATTCAAATAAAAAAAATTTTTTCTNTAAAAACGATTGAAATCACTAATATATTGCAAAATACTTTTTCTTAAAACAAGTAGCTAAACTTACGCAAAAAACTAAATTAAAAAAATTTGTATTATTTTATCAATATTAACACTACCACTGATATCAGTTTTCTAGCTATTTCTGTTGATTATCTTTATTTAGTTATTTATACAATAATGATCATATTTTAGATATAAATAGGTAATACGAAAACGTAGAACAAGATCTCCAACTTTCCGTGACCACACATAAATCTAAAAAATAAGTAGTAGCTAGAGAACTGATTTTCTTTATGTTGAAATATTTTCTTCAATTTTCAGAGCAAGAATCAAGTCTTAAAAAAGTACTTAAAAAATTGGAAAACTGTTTTTCTCAAGATCAACTTATGTAGTACAACTTTGTAGTATAATGTTATCTTTACACTATATTCAGCAAAAAATTAAAAAAAAATATTTTTTATAAATGTTTATTACCTTCAAGACCATAATTTGAATAAAAGTGTTTATAATATATAATATAGAAGAGTTGTACTTCAATTAAATCTATATTTTTTTCAAACATACACACACCTTTAACAAAATGTATAAAAGACATAGCAAAAAAACTGCTTTTTCATATTTTCTTTAATTTTGAAAGTGGTTCTGTAAAATATAAATGCAAATATTGAAAAAACATATTTCTTTGAGATTTACAATATTGTTTTCAATAACACGTGTGCAAGACTTATTCAGATGTACAAGAAAAGGCTGATATTTGCAACTTGTAAAATATTACCTTTTTGACTATGAAGGAATGAGAATACCTTTTTCCTAACTTGGGTGTTTTTGAGGGTCAGGTGTGCCCTTGGTAGGAAAAATAGGGTTCGCACCAGGTACGCATCTAATCAGGGCAAGCACAAGGAGTTCCTTGGGCCCTGCTTCGCAGGTCTCTTGGACTTGGTGCTTGCCCTAACAACATGCACTACCAAGTACGAAAACTACCATTTCGTTTCTGATCAAAAATTTAAAATGAGGATTGAAAATGACCATTTTTGTGCTTTTATCTATGTAATTGTTGATAAAAAGGTCCAAATATAGTATGTCTCTTACCTAGGGCAGAAAGTATAACCAGGGTGGGGACCTAGGGTGGAAACAAACTTTGGGCCTGGCAGGGCCAGAATGTTTCTTCCCGCCCGTGAGCGGAATGTAATTAGCGAGCGGAAAGTGTGTCCTAGGGCGCAAAGCACTGTGCCCGAGAGACGAAATGGTAGTTTTCGTTGGATAAGTGCCATCGTTTCCAGGGCTATTTTGCGGCCCAAGGGATCTGCGAAGCCGCCCGAGGGACGTAAGATAGTCACGGAGCGATGACGCTTATGTGGCGAATGCTATTTTTCCTACCGAGGGCACACTAAACGTCCAAATGTTAAAAAAATCGCCCAAAGTAGGAAAATATTTTCCTACCTCGGGACGTTTTATGTGACACTTAAACGTTTACTGTACCATCGGTAGAAGAAAATAGTTTTTACGGCATAAGTGCCATCCAACTGGGGCTTTCCTACGGTCCCTCGGGCCACAAAATAGCCCCAGTGGTGACAGTGCTTCTGAGACAAAAACAATTTGCATCTCCGATTTTTTATCATAAGCGAACAACAAATACTAATAAATAATAATATATGCGTTGAATCAATATTAATTTTATGATAAAGTAAAAAGACTCACCCCAAAGCCGGTGATGGCAGTCTGGTGCATGCTGTCATTAACACACTTGAGTACGACGAGCATGCAGTCGAGGGCCTCTTGGAGCTCACTGCAGCTTGACTGCTCGTCGCTGTACTTGAGCAAATCCTTGAGCAGCAGCTGGTACTTGGTGATCCGCTGCACGGGTTTGAGGAGGTAAGCTGCAAGTGGTAGCTTGTGGCCAAGCTTTTGCTGACAAGCGAGGAAGAATTGCGGCTCGTTTTGGATCTGCTCACGCAATCGTTCCGAACGCGGTATATTCTGGCAATAGTAGCTGTACAGCCTGTAGAATGTATCCCTCTAGAACATTTATAATTATAATTTTATATTTCTTTACCCTCTCCTTCCTTGTATGATTTTTTATGTAAATATGGTAGTTGACTTAATAAAAATACACATCCACGTGATTGTTATTGGTCATTTTATTTGTAAGTTTTTTTGTAATTGGAGGCACAAAGGAAAGACAAGCAGTATTTGTCCAGGGTGATCATAAAGGACCAGTAATCAACCTGGAAGTGATGCGCATCAGATGATAAAATCTACCATCACATTTATGAGACGAAATAAAATTTTTTTGGAGACTTTTTTTTTTGAAAACTACCATTTCGAGATAGTAAGACGTAGCGATTACTTTTAAGAGTACTTTTTTTTGTAAAATTATTAGTCATTTGTCCATCAATCGTTATAATAAAAGCTTTTGTTTGATCATTATATCATAATTGTGATGTTTTTAACTTGTTAATACAAAATAAAGATTAAGTGTCATAGAAAGTATTATTAGTATCAGATTTTTTAAAAGAAGTCATATGTGGTCAAAACAGTTACGTTATTAAAATAAAATTGTCAATGATTGAAAAATAAAGCGTACATAAATATATGCAGGTGGCCAGACTTACCCTTTGCACAAAGCACAACGCAACAAGTTCCGTGTTGGATATGCAGTTCTCAAGATCTCTCAAGAAGGTGTCGCTATGAAAAATGTAAATGTCCTCGAGATTTCCAAAGAGAAGGTCAGCCTTGCCGAGTAGAGCCGCAGGCACTAGATGAGTCATGGCCTCGTTGTTCATCTCCAGCTTGTAGCCCTTAATTATCGAGCCAAGCTCTGCTACGTAAATGCGCTCGGTCTCGAGCAACTCGGTGAGCACATGGCCACGCTTCTGGCGTAGCGCTTCAATATCTCGGGGCTCACTTTCTGGTGATGAAATCTCACCCACTTCATTGGGTGGAACCATTTCCATCTAAAATATACATACATGCATACGTATATCGACGCCTTGGTCAGAGACAACGCTTTCTCAAAATCGCCTTCAAGAAAATCATAGATCAGATATGTGTTGAAAAAGCGCTAACAGATATTTTTATTCTCATATCTTGAAGTGGTAGTACTTTCTATTTCTTACTGCCAATTATCATATCAATTGCCGAAGTAGACAAAGAACCTTATAATCAATACGAGAAAGAAAAATTTGTGTATCGTATTCATGTGATTTTAACGTATCCTTCGATCATTTTTTTGCTACAAGTTAAGGTAAAAGTACCAGTACGTGAACACTTCCTATAATTGCACCAGTGGATTGAACAGCTTGAATAAACTATTTTCAATTTAAGTGGATAAAAAAAATAAATGTTTTTGATATCTTTTGATCGTTCTTTAGATAAAACAAAATTTATATTTCAGTAAGTCTTTATACTCAACGAGAAAAAAATTATTTATTCGTGCAACTTGTATGAGGTGGCTTGTGAGACTGTTCAGGTACTGGTACCATTAGGTTTTACCTATGCCCAGTACGCGAACACATAAAAACGATTGAAATCACTGTTAATCAATAATAATAGTATGTCAAACCAGTCGTTATAGTTTTCATAATATGTTACCAATTAAATTAGAAAGAAATTTTTCGATTTAGTTATTTGCAATACATAATAAAAATAGAAATCAGTAGAAGGCAGCTAACATAACCTCTCTCCCATTTAATTAACATGGGATGTTCAATTACTTGGTCAAAAATACGTATCGGTACCAATACCTGATCACGCTGTTCATCTACTGGGTCATTGGTAAAAAAACTTTAAAGTTAAGTTATTTATCGTATACGCAACCTAGAAAAACTTTTTTGTTTTCTTTTGATAGGAAAAAATATGTACTTACTGGCGCAATGACTGTTTTGTTGTTATGCAATTCAGAAATTCGATAAAAATGAGAAAACAAAGACTTTATGGAAAAAGTGCTTATGTATTGGTACTTTTACCTTACTAAGGTCATCAAATCTTTCGTTTTTCTTGGCTATTGATATGACGTTTAGGAATCTGTGCCTTTTTAGTTTTTGCTTCCTTACAATAATTAACCAAACAGTAAGGTGAGTGACCCTATTACCGTGGCCCCTCCACAACCGGAGATTGTAAAAAACGGCTGATTAACTATTGCATAGTGGAAGTTTTCAGTAAAAAGAAGTTGTTATATTTTAATAATAAACTGTAACATATAAGAAATAGTTGAGAGAAAAATTGTAACTTATTTGTAAAATAAACGGCATCCATACGCAGTATAAGGTACCACGCTCACGTTAAACAGTCAGGCACGTACACCGTATACCGTAGTTAGTAAACAAACAGTCAATATAACCTTGTTAACCAGAAAAATTCTGCACGGGGGCGGTAAGGGGTATGTGGTGGGCCACTGGGGGTTCGGGGGGGGCAGTGGGGGTCTGGACAAAATATGAGCTAAGATGAAATAAGGGAGAAAACAACGGAATTTTACCTTACTTTGTGGGGGGTCAACAAGAATTATGGGGGGCTGTGGGGGGAAGTGTGAAGTTAATGTGAAATGTTCCATTCGAATACATCAATGCCAATAGCAATTGAGCCCAGAATGAACGTCAAAATAAAATAAAAATTACTTTCTTACCCTTGGCATCGTATTCGCTTTTTTCAAGACCCGTCCCGGCCTGATACACTGCGGAGCTGGCTGTAAGGGCTTAGCTGGCTCTGGAGTCACGGTTTGTATAGGCCTCGTTGGTTTCATCAGCTGCTGCTTCAGCGCCATAATCCTCTTATCACACATCAGAGACACATCTTCTATCCTCTGCAAGACCTATGTGCAAATAAAATTTAAACTTGAAATTATTCACATATTACATACCAATCTCCAATGATATACCGATACCTGTGTCACGAGGGCTTTGGTCTCCGGTATTATCGAGTCTTCGAACACACTTGTCGGATGATGGAACTCTTCCGCAGTCTCGATCAACGACTGGAGCTCCTGCAGAGCCTGGTCGGGTGGTGTCGAGCTGTTCTGGGCAGCCAACAACTCTATTCCACGCGTACACCACGTGTTTGCCTGATCGAGGACAAAAGAAGTAGACGTACCAACAAAGGTGTATCGCACGAACACATCGGCGTCGTGCCGAGTATTACCTTGTCTATTTGTTCCATGAGCTCACGGCACTTGTTGAGGGTGTGCAATCTGCGCTCGAGCCTTTGGCCGAGTATCGTGCAAACCCTCTGCAATTCGGCGCATTTGGGCTCGACGACCTCGGCCGGACATTGGTGCCTACCGGACAGCAATCGCTGCCCGGCTGTGATCACTTCCTCGGCTCGCTCGATGTCTCCCTAAAACCGCGTGCACATTGTAAACAATGTTATGAAGGAGGCGGCGTCATCCGTTCATGCAAACATTCGTGATGATGATAGGAAGCGTAGTAATTTTGAGAGACAACTACTGTGGTGATCCGTGAGTGGAGAAAAGATCTACTGAATACTTTGTTCATACTGTGAAACTTTAGTAGTCTTGGGGTAGTTGGGGTGTTCAAATACAAGAATTTTCGAATTACGCTGATAAAAACATTTTGTCGATCGTACATATGTATTGTAACCACAGTTTTACGGCAACAATCGATGCAGATCTTTTCTCCATACGTGTATAGCGTTTCGAGGCTATGTGTAGCTTTATTTTTTAACTACTGTTGTTAGAATCATTTTTCAAAGTAACTTTTGCTTCGAAATCCATACGATGTGACATTGATGTGTTTTTAAAAACAAAGTTGCTGAAAAAAAAGAGAAAAAGAAATGGCTTCATTCGTCGTGCAACGAACATGATATGTATACATAGAGTCATCGATACTGGCATTTTTGTGAAAGCAGCATCGTATTTGTTTGGATGCAGTTAAAATGTGCTTCAATCTATTGAGATTCGAACTCAAGAAGTTACATTATACTCTGGGAGTTTCAAATGTTCATCACAACGTATATAAGAAGAAAGAAGTGAAAGTTGCCGGTGTCGGAGAGTATATTGATCATTGGTGCTTCAGTTGAGTTCATATCCCAATACAATTTTTTTAAGTGAACGAGATCGATGGATAAGTTGTGTGAAAAATATGTACGAGCCAACGCCATAGACGAGAAACATGTCAAGTCGATACTCCAACAATTGAGTTTGTTATTCCAGAAAAAAAAATTTTATTACAAAGTTTTCGGTGAAAACAAAAATATTCGGATATCGTTCACGAAAAATGGTTTATCCAAATATTCCAAACAGTTTTAAAATATTTACTCATTAAAACCCTCGATTGATCATAAGATTTCGTACTCAAGTAACACGTTCAGTGGAGTTTTTCTTTTTTTTTTGTTGAGTGAAATTTATGCTACTTTTTAATTCATCACACCAAAAGAGTACTTTTACTCTGCATGAAAGCGAGAGAGAGAGAGAACTATGGTTGTAGTTTGAACCATGTTTCTGCTAATGGACAATATTTTTCGTCTACGGCGTCGGGAAAAAAATGTGTACATTGTTCAACCGAAGAAAAAAATTTATTGCAACAAAGTTAGATATAATGAAGTAGTGAGAATGTTTTTTCTAAAATAATTTTTGACTATATTATAAACAGCAAATAATTTCAAAAACTTACAAAATCTTAAATAAACAATGATTTGCATACAAGTTTTGTGATTTAAATTCGTTTTTACAACTTTCGACTACTTCTACGTGTACAAGTGATCAAAGCGTTCTAAGAAAAAAGCTCATGATATGTAATGAAAAAAAAAGTCTATGGGTGACAGAAAAGTTGAAGATGATATTGAAAAACCTTGCAATATTTCTATAACAGTATATGTTAAGAATAATGAATTTTTGAACGTGGATTGCTTACCAATACCCAAATCCACATGGTATGCAACAAATAGGACTATTGACAAATGAAAGGAAAGCGGTGCAATGTGATATCCTTTTTTATTTCAGAATTTTTGTGCTTGATGTGCAATGTGTGTTGATAATAAAATGAAGGTTTGCTCGAATAATAGGCGTACAAATAAATTTTCGTTTCATATTTTTTGTTTTTTTCAATTCATTATTAAGCAGTTAATAACAAAGAAAAAAATCGTATCGACCAATATTTAAAATTCGAGCAAAGAAAACGTGACTGCGTGAATTTTGGTGACAATAAAGAGAAAAAAACACTAATGTCACTGACAAACAAAAAGTGCAGTGCTTTTAGACGAAGAACAATTAAAACGGCACGTCGAGTCAGCGAGTGATAAAACAATTCTTGCATTGTGCTCATTGGCCAAAAACAAATAATAGAGTTAGCTATTGTGGCTTGATACGTTTTCTACCACGTTGGCGCATCGAAGCTTCCGAAGCGTTAAAAACGAGAAATAAAAAAAAAAAAAAAAAAAAAAAAAAAAAAAAAAAAAAGAAAAAGAAAAAAAAGACAGAAAGAAAGAGGGTGACAGAGAAAAAGTGTCACATAGCCTGACGAGTGTGCGTTTTGTTGAGATGTATACAAAAAAGAGGTTGCGAGGATCGGTATGATCAAAGCTTACCCGGCATATTCTCTGGAAGGCGGAGGTATCCCGCAATAGTTGGTCGACCCTAGTGACGGTCTCGCCGACTTCGGTCATCTCGTCGAGAGTTTTCAAGTGCTGGTCCAGACTCGCCTGCAGCTCCCGGAAGTCCTGCTCGAATTGGCGTAGTGCCAGGCAGTGTCGCAGCCGAGAGCTGTGGTGCGTCCAGAATAGGTCGAACGTCCGTTCCGTCTCCTCCAGCTGCACCAGTAACCTGAAGCGAATTGGAAAAAATTTTTTCACGTCTTACGTGGCTCTACTCTTAAATATTATTGTTTTGCCTAAAGAAGTAAACGCTACCCACTCTTTGGTGATGTAGTATAATAACAGTAACACTTTACAGCTTACAACTGCCGTATCAAAGATTTTCCAATATCATTTAACAATGAAATAATTATTAATTGACAGCTTAACCTTACTATACACTTTACGAAACATATAATACTTTTGTCGTAAATGCGAAGTTAGATGTGTTTCAAAAGTATTGATAAACTATAACTACATCAAGAAGAATCCAAGTACACGTCTAATAAAAATTATCTTTAGTGTAGTAAAATTTTTTTACTACAATCCCTTAAAGCTTATTACTTAACACCAATTTTTTTTTTCCAGCACAAAACTAATACGCCTGCAAATTTTGTGGCTTGCTTGGGTCAGCTTGTGCATGTGTACCTTTTCGTTTGCTTAGTTGCATACGTATACCAATAAGATTAAATTAAATTTAAAAAACAAATTTTGGTGATTATAAAATATATGTAAGCAATCAAGGAACAAATATATAGATTTGCGTCGCGTGGGTTTTTTTATGGTTAAATTTTCACTACCACTATCTTGATTAGTATAATTATTACAATTGTACATTTAAAGTTTATGCAAAAAAAAAAGACTTTATGACGAGGTTAAGTTTGTTGTAAAAAATACAACACAACGAGTATTTTGATATTACTACTAGGGCTAGATGTTACAATTCTGTTAAATAGTTTATTTCACAATATTATCTGCCAAAATTTACTACATACTATTTTTGATAAGCAAAAGGTAGTTAAAGTATATCAATACAAGTACACATTAACGTTACCATGTAAAAAGAAAAATCATGTGGCTATTCACACCTAATCCACGTTAATATGTGGATATAAAGAGCTATGTCTACGTTTTTACGTGCATGGATGTAGGGTTTACGATATCCACGTGAATCTTAATGATACTATCCCCACACCCATCAAGGTGTTATCAATACTGCAAAAAATCCACTTATTTACGTAGATTTGGTGCCCAGTGGAAGAAAAAGAAAGAACAATAAGTTAATTATCCTAGCGGTAGAAGGGACCAAATCAAGTTTTCGATGTAAGAGGGGGCCACTTAACGTTTTAAGATGGTTACATTAAATACACGAAAAAGTTATTAATGTATTGCTCTCGATGCTTTCATAAAATAACAATTTGAACGAAAAACTTACGATTAAAATTTATCATTATTGTTTGTTTATTTATTTGACGAGATTACACAATCCAAAACAATAGCAATGATATTACAATTATAATTCTGCAGAGGTAACACTTTTACCTGTCCACAGGCCGGTACAATGTAGGAAGATAAAAGTATTAAATTTACTAACTAATTTTTGTATACTGATTTCAATACTAACGTAAGATTCAGTTTTCATTTCGTATTTATATAATAAAGAATATAGTTTTCTTTAAATTTTTTTTCTTTTACTTTTTTTTATTTTTCTCTACAGCATTTGTATCTACAGAAATGTAAACATCATTATTCAATTAGTCTGTTTACCTTAGTCGTATACTAATACTTTTTCATATTTTCTTTTTTGGTGCATTATTAGTTCTATGGTTTTGTTCGTCAATTAGTTTCAGATTTATAGGCAACTCATTGTATAGTTTTATAGCTTTAATGTAACTTTTTAGTGAAAAATTGATGAAAATATTAAATAACACAAAAATAACTATTACTGCAATTTACACATGGAAGTGATAAAAAAAATTGTTGGATTTTATTAAAACAAATTTTTTTGTCCAATACGTTTTTATTTGAGGTACAGTCCTTATGGCCAATATGGGAAAAAAGTGATTTTTTGTGTATTTGGATACAAAGTTGCCATTTAAAACAAGATTTTGGAATTAAAAAGTTGTGGATCATTAAAAGATAAACTCATAAGATGATTTGTGAGTACACTGCTGTAGCCTAATTATTGAAACTTTTGTTGAAGCTACAATTTTTGCCCTGACGATAAATTTATCAGTAGTGCCAAGCACGTAAAAGCTCAGCCTTTTACATTAAATTAAGGCGCTTGTTATGAATTATTGTTGTATTATTGGTTACTTCCAAAATCATTATATTCATGTAAACAACAATTCACTTGAATTAAAAATATGATCAAAATAATTTTACCTAATAAAAATACGACCAAAATGATACCCAGATCCATATGAGTCACGCATGCATTAAATATAAAACACATCACACAATTATCAACCCACTATTAATAATAAATCTTCCCCCTTGTTTGGTCAACTCCATCCGAGTTGCTTTGTGGTCCAGAAACCCCATCACCAAGCGTTTCCGCATCAAAAAACTTGATTCTCAACCACCTACCCCCACAAATGTATACACTCTATGATGAAGATTGTCTCACCTTTCGACCGCAGCGACATTTCCCAGCCGGTCAGCGGTGCCCTTGCCGGTGAGCTGTCTGACGCTGTCGAGTAGCGCCTCGCCGTTGCTAGCCGCGCCGAGTATCTCCTCCTTGAGCTCGTTGTACTCTGCCTGTTGCTGGCTCAGCAGAGTCGTCGTCGCGAGCGTGTTGTTCGGGAACTCCACTTCGGTGAGCCGACGCGTGTACGAGTCCAGGGCCAAAGACACGTCCTGCGTCATCGACGAGAACTTCTCGAGGTTCTGCGGATCGGGGTTGAGGTGGAAGCGTTCATTGGTTTGAATATTTTATTTTCTTTGGTTCTCGATTATCAAATTTGGTCTTTTTTTTTTTTTTTTTTTTTTTTTTTTGCATGCTCTTAGATAAGATTTAGGTAATAGAGTGAGAATTTACGTGCAATATAGAGTCCTGTGTGGCCATCGGTGTTATTGTTTTGTTTGGTTTATCGTGCACATGCAACCCAAGTTCAATTTAAGTATTTTCTTTTTTACATCAACTGAAATATCAAGAGGGCTTTGTGAGAGCATGGGGCAATTCGCCGCTTGTAACATATAATTACGTACAGTGAGATTTTAGTGTTGGGTTGATAAGCTTCTAAAGTGTTGTACGTACGGTTAATTTCAGAAATCGAAGAAAGGTAGTTTAGTGCCACTATCGGTTAGCGCAAAGATTCGATGTAAAAGGGTTTTTTTTTTATCTAATATTCATTACAATTTTCCTTTCTTTAAATATAATACGTCAAAGTGGTTTTAAACAATGGTGTACTCTCATACACGAAAACAATTTTATCCGTCCATATACGTATACATGAACGAGAATTAGTGTACGTTGTCACTATTTTTTTAAATATGTTGACCTGATTCAACACAACGAATTTCGTTCGTGAGATTTTTAATTTTCGTACCGACGTGCTCGAACCAAAAATTCGGTCACCACATTCATTCTCTTTGTTCCGTTTTCTAAAAACAATTTCTCGCTTTCTTTGGATTCAAAAGCCTCACTTGTATTTAAAATAAATTAAAAAAAAATCTGTTTCGGTTTCGTTACAATGTGAACTGGTTCCGTCAATTCTTTTAAATTTACAATTAAATAACTTTATTAAAACTCAATGATAGGAAGCTCCAAATGTATTTTGGATAAAAGTTTAAAAAATTTCATTAAAAATTTTTTTGTCATGCCCGAAGCTCAATAAAAAACCAATTTTTTGTTCTTTTCATAATTTGACCTCAACGCATAACGTTTGCTATAAAAAATGTTAAAAAAACAACTCGTACAGGACAACTTTTACACTTGCGTAATAGACCCAAATCTAAGTTAATGAGAATAGCTTCAATCAGTACTGGTTGTTACAGGAGATACATTTACACATAGGATTATAAAAAAAAACTACAGAACTTGAAAGGCTGAAAATTAAAGTTGAAAATAAACCGACATCACAGCATCAGTGGTTATCGTTCAATACTTGGAAACATTCATACTTAGTGTGTGCATGACTCAACGAAAACCCCGGAAAAATTATCGGTTATGAGAATGTATCATTGATTCATTCTACCAACTACGAGTGGCCAGAGAGAAACTGCGCTAGGAAATAAAACTAGGAAAGATAAGCAATTGTGCACCGATACTAAAGCGAGTGGAGCTAGGAGTTGATACAACGTTGATAAAAGTATGTCATTACGATTCGGTTCTTTATCCAAGTGTGATGGCAGTAAGGCAAATCGCCCCCAAGAGACTCGGTCAGCTGGTCCTTGTCGATGAAGCCGTGAAGCTCGACAACGTCCGCCAGCACGATCACTCGAAACTTAAAGTCTTTGCAGAAGAGCTTGTTGGACACCTCGGAGATAGCTTTTTGGAGGAAGCCTATTGGACGAAGTACGTACGCCACGTGAACCAGGCCGGGAAAGAACGCCTTTGAATGGGAAGATGATTAGAAAAAAAATCATTATTTAACCATGGATTTTGATACGATATCTTATCTTTTTTCTCCAACAGTCTTTTGTAACTATTTTTAGCCTAACTACTGCTTTATTGGTTAAACGATAAGTTAACGGTGTATTATAACATGTAAATTAAACTCGGTTAATCAAGTTATCATTATAATCACGTGGCACTAGTGTAACATATAGAAAACTAGACTCACGGATATTTTCAAGAGTACAGTTTTCACAGAATTCCACTTGTCGTTCCTTCTGTCGATGATTAAGTGAAACCCCAAGTCAGCCTCGTGTAAACTACAAGGGTTGGAAAACAATATATGTCCTTAAAACTTTGAACAGTATCGAAATTTTTGATTCAAGGAGTTGTTTAACAACATGTACGTACGTTGGAACTGATGTGAGGTACAGCATCAGTCGCTGGTAGTCGAGATCGCTCAAGTTATGGAAGTTGCCGTTGTCTGGAAATGTAATAATGGGGCATCCATCACGCGTCTTACCACCTGTGGAAAAAATGGAACATATTTGTTTATTGCAATACTTTCCAATTATACAGGTTGGTAGGGCATTTTATACAAAATAACGGCTTTTTGTTGTTTTGAGATACGTAAGTACACACTTATTTTCTCCAGCTCATATTTACAAAAAAGTGAAGCTCTACATGTGCTAGTTTGTTTTGAATTTTGCAAGTTCATCGCTTTAAAGCTGTAAAAATCACTTAACGATGGATACTTACAAAAATGTATACAAGATTCCTACAGTAAATAGGTTTATAATTGCCCTACTAGATAGTACGAATCATAACCAAAGTTTACAGTCTTCCTATTCATAGAGTGTATTTTAATTAACGGCGCTTATCTCCTAAGTTCATTTTAATAATTTTTAGAATTCAAGCACTGGCTCAAATTGTTTATTTTCTAGGAAAACCAAAGATACACAATTAATAAAACACATTAAACAATGACTGGTGATATAAGGAATGTTTTTCGTTACGATCACAATTAAATATTTATCTGTCTGTCTATATCTAAATACCTCCATGTCTGTGCAATATAAGCAGAATATTGTAATTTGTGTTAAGTATCTACTTCAACGAGTAAATTTTTTTTTTTTTTTATAATTTATTTTATACAGAAATCGTTGTTCTAAATGACAATGTAATATAATGATTATGTTATTGTTATTAATATGATTATGAGCTTCCTTCAGATTTACCATGTTAGTTTTTTTATCATCATAGCTGCACAGAAAAAATTCTGGATTTCATATTTTACTGAGTTTGTTATTACAACTTCTTGATTTTCAACGTTTTCTTTGTAATATTTAGGTAAAAAATTTTAAGCTTTCTTTCAAAATGATTGTCCTTAAAAAAGCATAAAAAACGTCATTTTCCACTTTTTTTCATACCAACACGTGTTACTCAGTTTTTTTTATCATCACTACAACAATAATTCTTGTAAAAATTAGTCATATCTTCAGACCACAATAACAGATCTCGATTATCCAACGTACGAAGTTTATGTTTTCTTACATGTAAACAGGTTTAAAGAAAAATTTTAGAATAAAATAAATTTATACCATAGGATTCTGAAGATAGATTTTATTTTAGTCTGAAAATATTTATTCTTATATGATTACACGTACGTGCTCAGGCGATAAAAATAAATATAAATATAATTGAGTATTTTTTTAGAAATCTTCAAACAATTTTTGTAAGTCCAAAAATAGTTCATTGAAATTGTTGAAGTGGAAAAAATTAAAATTTTATTTTTAAATTAGTTTATTATCGTAAATCATACAAAAGTTTTTTTTATTCTGTATTAGCCTAATAACTTATTTTAATTTTTTTTTATTCACATAATACTACGATTTTTTTTGGAAAATCACGATGTCTTGGCCATAAGCCTACTTATTTTAACTAATTACTGTTTGAAGTGTTTGTTTCTTTTATTCTTATTGCTGCTTCAAAACAAAGTTTTATTTTCCACCCCATAAATATTGGCCACTTTTCATATTGTAAAAAATATTTCCTGTTTTTTCTTTTCTTCTTAATACTCATAAAAACTTCGACATTTAGTAATGTGCAGTAAATCGACGCTAGTTAAATATCTGACTAAAATTTAAAATTCAATCAGTAAAGGTGTAGATGAGTATCTTTTTTAAACTGAAAAAGGAGAAAATAATTTCCACCTAAAAATCAGACAATCAGTGACCATCCCTTGCAGATCATCAGTATTTATATTTTTATTGAATAGTTTTTAAAAATACTCCATCTTGATAACTTTTTTTACGAACCAACAAGTTTTTTTTCAATCTTGTAATTAAAAATTGAGATTGTATATTAAATTAATCGCACAACTAATGTTAAAACATCAAATATTTGTCACAACAAAAACGGAAGAATATATTTTGAGAAAGCTTTGTGGTAATTCATCGGCACCAATTTTTTAATTAAGTGTTTGCAAATTAGAAACAACATACTGTTAATGAGAATTAAGTAAAATTATGATTATAGCAATAATGTTGAAAAAAAAACCTTTTAAAGAGTAAAAAATATTCTGTCATCGTACATATGAATAAAAAAATAGTGAAAAAAATTCAATACGACTTGGTGTTTGTTCCAACGCTACGATTGGTTGCTCATTCTGGCTGAAAAGAACACACCCATTTATTCCCCAAAGAGTTCAGCTGACAACCATTTTGTACACAAAAGCAATGAAATAGTGCATTACAAATTTATTTGAAAAAGGGGGTTTAAAACCTTTAAAACTAAAATGCACATAACAAGAATTATCTACGTTAGTAAAAATAGGCACGAAGAAGACACAAAACTTGAAAGAACAGTAAGTTATAAAGTTCAACATGTAAACAGGTCACAGAAAAAAGATAAAAGTTCAAACTAAGAATTGTACTACTTAAATACCAACTACTATTAAAAAGGGTTTAAAAGTGTTGAATCATGTATCCATTGTAACAATGCAGACTAATTTTTTATTTCAATTGTTACTTTGATTTTAGGAAATCGATATTTTAAATTATACCATTTAATCCATTCAAGTCCAAAAATATCAATGATTTAGTTATCTTACACTATAAAATTTGGCCTTTGAAACTATATTATTTAAAACTCATTTTCAAATTCACCCGCTCTTTGTGAGTCGTCCAATCACAGAACGAATAAAAAGGCTTCAGTCACGTTACAATCAATCTTTTGGTATAGAGTACCAACAACGGCATTTTTCCGAATTTCCTCGTACAACTCCGTCCGTGCAGTCGTTTTGACACACATTTTATACCTATATTATCTGGATTGCACCCCCGTACAGTCAGCAACCACGAACTCTCCCGAAAATCAAGCTCAGCAGTTTAACTATGCAGCGACAGCAGTTTCGGCGAATCGAATAAAGTCTTGCGCTGAGTCCTCCAGACAAGCTTTGTTCAATATTCACGGTTTTAACTAAAATATTTAATCTCCCTATTGAATTGGCTTTCGAAATTCCTTCCAATAACGGGTGATGAGGATCGACACACTTCGATAGGCTTATTACGGTTACAATGGACGTGCACGTAATAACGTCATAAAAATAACGACCGGCAAGGAAAGTCAAAACTTCAAGTGCTTCCGTGCTCGTTACCGCTGTAAAGTTTGCACTCGTGTCTTCCATATATATACACTACTCGTATATTATAAACTCTCAAAACACGTGCATGCGTGTTACGTGTGTTCGCTATTCACGCGTCATTAGTGTCATTACTCGGCGGCAACCAGCCGCACTACTGCATTCACCCACGCCTTTCGTGCAGGTGATGTACAGATGGCAGTTTTTATACGCGGTTCCAGAGCCTCTATGCGCAAACGTACCTTTATATGCTTTGGTCGCAAATATACCTCATTATGCACCAAGGGGACCTTATGCACACTGAGCCAATTTCTCACGAATGTTGTGTACCATTAAGTGCATCTTCCCGCACGTGTGTACTCCGTTGAAGGGTTTAATAATCCGTAACAGCGCACGAATACGGTGGGTGCGTAAGCGTATAAGTACAGAGTAACTGTGCTAATATAAGGTAGGACGTACGTATGTAGCGTGACGGCTCGTAAGAATTATTACGCGCGGGGGGGGGGGTGGCGTCTGATGGGAAAAGCTCGCGCGCGGAGGAGGAATCGAGCTAGACCTGCGCTGTGTTAATTAATCGTTACGCGTATGTTGTACAGGGTTGGTCTTCTCTTCGCAACTTGTTGGATTTAATGGCCCAATCAAGGGGGCCTTATATCCGCGTTCTCGACTCTTTACGCGGGTTTTACGGTTTTTCGATGGCAAATTGATCGTCTTCGCCGTTCGCGAGAGCACAACTGTGAAAGTTATCACTTTTCATTTGGAACTACGGATACGTGGAAAAACTGCCACTTTAGAGCTTAGAGAGAAATTTAGATTTTTTTCTTGTCGATCGATGACTATAAGAGCCATTGAAATTAATATTTAAAAAAAAATTGTACAACAATATTCTTCTGTACGAAATTTAACAAAAATTTTTAAGAAACTTATTTTCCACCTCAATCATGAAGAACTAGAAAAAAATTTATTTTCTTACTTACAAAGTGGCGCCCTCAAAAAGAAAAATGTCGTTCGCACCTTGGGTACATACATGGAAAAACCCCGCTCTTTGGGCGAAATTTTTTTACCTTACTCCCACGGACGACAATGACTAGTTTTCATTTAAAATTTACTGAAAAAATTTAAACATGTTAACTCCTTTACCCATTACTCAGAAATTCCCTATACTTCAGGATAAAATACTTTAAAGTGCTTCAATTTTTGCGTAGGATCCCCTCTGAGATCTTATTTTTTTGTTTGAACGACAGTTTTTATAAAATTAGAATGAAACATATTAAATAATAAGAAGAAGAAAAAACACAATCGTGTATATGGTTACCATGTAACTACAATATCAATCGAGTGAATGTTACACTTACATCACCTAAGATCATAGCTCGTTTGTAACTTTTATATTTGAGGGAAGGAATAATATAATACCTCCGAAAAGTATTACTATCTATCATCTCGTAAAATAATACTAATCGTTTTCCTGATTTATTTCATTACTGTTTACTTTAGGAATCATACTACAAAATTAACGAAACAAAAAGGTTTTGAATGAGCTGTTTAGTCACAAATCTGAAGACCTACTAATACTGTATTGATTAAATTTCCTTACGACATACGAAATTAATCAAGTCTAAAAAGTTCTATGAAACACATGAATATGATGAATGATTTGTTATAATAAAGTAACGTGTTATAGAAAATTTAGTAACTATAGTTTATGGGCTCACTTAGACTTACATTTCTTATTCCATGAAAAACTTCTTGCTTACGAAATAAAAAATTATTTAAATAAAAAAAAGGTCGTGACTGACTGTAGTTGTATATGAATGTGATGATTCGCTAGATGAACTAAAGTGGTCGGTAGTATAGCTTACAACTTCAGGTAGAGGTTCTGGCGGAAAAAAAAAATGTTAGGTAAGACTAACAAAAAGCAGGATTCTTTTAAAAAACATAATGTGTGCGTATGAACTTCTTCCGTATTCTTTCCACACGTATTATGAAGTAAAAAAAATCATCGCTCATTGAATTTTATTGCATGTAACTTCTTTAAAAATTTTGCGTGTGACTTTTTTATTTATTTTTAAAAGACTGGTTATTTGCATTAAATTCATTTTTTTCTAAAAGAAATTTTTTTAAATTTATTTAAATGGTAGTTTATATACAATTTAACTACTGAGCCCCAGAAGTGTACATGTTAAATTTTGCAATTATATAATTTTTTTTCATCGAAAAAATGTCTAGAAAAAAATATGTAAAAAAGTCATACGCACATATAATAGTTCTTGAAAAGAACATTATTTTATTAGCATTTTCTAACATTTTTTTAGTTTTAGTTGGAATTTTTTAAAATTAGATTGAAACATTACCGGCATTGAAATTGATTTTTTTTTTGTGTTAAGTTATTTTCTAGATATTAACAAAAAAATTTTAACAGTACTTTCTTTCACATTCTATTAACAGTCTTTCTAAAAGTTGTTGTTAATTTAGAAAGAAAAAAAAGACTTTTATCATAATAATACTGTAAATATTTATCAGATCAGCTTAAAATTGTTATAATTCATGATAATGCTTCAAAAAGTGAGAAATAGAAATGATGTTAACGTAATATACTAAAAAAGTGTGTAGTCATTTTTTATTTTAAATATACTAATATTTTGCCAGTATGAGCTACTACCATTAAATTATTACAAAGTTTTCTTGGGGTAAGTAATTACTTTTAAAAGTAGTAGTATTTTATAAAAAAAACATTAAAAATGTTCAATTATAAATCACGATAGTTCAGACTGTTAAACTATTTGAGAAATTAACTTTTAATTTTTTTATCACAAATTGCACAGTTTTGGAAATTAGTAAAATCGCTTAAAGATCCTTGAAAGAATACATTTATATTTCTGAGCTTTTGTTATCATATAAAAATAATCATTTTCAGCCTTGGATCAGTAAAGTCTGTTCTTAGGATACTGTGTTAATCCTGTGATTTGACATTGATAATTAAAAAAAAAACTTATTGTCGTTTCGTTTGAAAAAACAAGCAAAAAAATACATTAGACTTATTACAATAAAATGTTAAGTTTGTTATAAAGAAAAAAAAAATTATAATATATTGGGATGATTTAAAATGAAAAATAAAAGTATTTTTATGCTTCATTATAAGGAAAGCTTAGAATTTGGTTATTTAAACTGTATAAGAAAACTATTTTTTTTTTTTTTTTATCCCGAAATCGTTATGAGAACCTTAATAATTTATAAGACTTAAATTATTCTTCTGAGTCAATCTGAGGATAAGAAAATAGAACTTTGAGATCCGGGATCATTGAGATGTGAGCGTTTAAAAATTTTTAATAATTGTGAAGTTTACTTTCTTGTCGTCTATAATTATCCATCGATCAACACTTAATTTTTTCTTCTCATTAATTTTTTTTTTTTTTTTCTTTTTTTTTAAGGGAGTATCAAGTTGTTTATGTAAAAAAAGAATCACTATACACGAAATTGTAAGGGTGCTTTACAAATAAAATAGTTTTCACGATGAGTTACGCGCACAATACTTATTTTAAAAGTACTGGTAAAATACGCTGACTAATGAATAAAAAAAACAAAAACTGTTTACTAACGTAATATGAACACATTTCAGTACAGAAGCTTTTGTACTAACGTAAACAAAGATTGTTTTAAATTATGGAAGGTCCTTATAAAATAAGTCACAATTACAGGCACACTCGTAAATTTTCTCATTTACAGTTTGAAACAATTAAATCTCAATAATTATCAAAAAAAATTTCAGAGGTACTTTTTTTTTTTTTTAAATATAAAATAACAATAGCCCCCTGTAGCACTTGATTAATTATTTGTCCAAATCGTCAACGAATATTTTTAAATACGGCATTTTGACAAAAATTTTTCAATATTACTCTGGCGTCCCAGAGAAGAAAGACGTTAAGCGCAGTTTATTCACAACTAAGAAAATCGAAAAAAACCAATTACTTTCAATTATGATAAAAATGTAATATTTTAACCACAGCAATAAGTAATGATCTTAGGGTAAATATGGCACCATCTTTGCATTAATCTCAAAAAAAAGTTGATTTTTTAACAGGATATTTAAAAAACTGTAGTTACACCCTTTGCCCAACGTAGTTTCCCTCGGTAGTGACCTTTTTGGGTAGCAAAGACCCCCGGAAATCGATGCGTTTACAATGCAAGAAAATCATTAAGTTCAATCACACTCCTAGTCATCATCTACTCTGTAATGACGGCCTTTTTTCTTTGTAAGCAAAGCCCCAGCTCATGCTACTTCCAGAGCAAAAACCTCCTTAAGTACATAACGACTTTTTATTTTGAAATCCATGCGCTTTCTCGTTGACTATACAGAGTAAAAAAGGCTTTAAATGCTTCTACGCCTTGCAAATTCCAAATTTTATGTCATTCACCTTTTTTCGGTGTCGGATCAAAATTTTTTCCGATAAAAGTACCATTCAGTTTATCATAACAAATAATTGAAAAACTGTTCATGATTTTTACAAACACACTTAGATTGGAAATCACCTTACGAATCGATTGATATAAAAAACTCATTTTCGACCAAAATGTCACTTAACGACTTTCTTCACTGGGACGACAGTACTTTTCTGTGTAAAAAAACCTTTTGTTCCTTGGACAAAACGTACCACTCTAAGATAATTTCAATCTTTGACTTCGGACTGTAAAGAGAAAGCTTGTAAAAACCACTTAGAATTATCCTTGGACGTGTATGTACCCATCGGTGCACACGGAGTCCTACCTAGCGCCAGGACTGTGACGCGTACGGGGTCGACATTCTAGGACCCAAGTTTCGCAATTGTCACTCAGAAGCACACATTGAAAAAAAAAAGAAAAAAAAAAAAAATTGCTCGTACAAAATAATACAAGACGCTAAAGCCGGTGACTCACCAGTTATGACGGAATACTGGGGCTGCAAGAGGTCCGCGACGTCTCGAACGGCCAGGTCTCCGTTCTCGATCTCCCCAGTCATACTCTCGACATCCTCTGCAACAAAAAAACACACACATCCATGTTACACGTATACATTATAATATCGCGTAGTGCATGTATAAGAACATGGACTGAACACGATGTCCGAGTCGATAATTGATGCAAATGAAGCAGTCACTTTTGTTTGCCAAATAGAATTTGAGACGTGTCAGATGTACGTATGCGTGTACTGTATATTATTACTTCCATTACAATGCAAATCTGTTGCGATCGATACATTTTTAAAAATATATGTATTCATTCTTTGTGTTCAACGCTGCGACTACATATATACGAGGATACAATATATAGGTAGTTGCCAGTGGTATACACATGGCCTGCTAATGGGATTACGTTATGTGTGACGTGCATGTGCACCTGTAGTGTCTGCTCTCTATTTTTTTTTTTTTTTACCTCTTTTTGCGGCGTGTATATCAACACTATATACAGGTATATTTTTACGCTGTGAGTAAGCGAACAAGAGGGAGCGTAGCAGAGAAACAGATAACGCGACACAATGTGCTGTGAGAAAGCAGCTCGAGCGTTTCCTACTTTTTTTTTCTTCTTGGACTAATATGTAGCCTAACCGAGTGCCTGTCCTTGTACGTGTAATGCCTTTTTGTAAAATTCATGACAGGTGACACTTTGATCATGTGCATGGGTGAGCTGGATACTTTTTTCTTCTCCTCTTTTGATGCGAACTTGTCATTTCTGAGTGCACGTGCAAGTGTATACGTGTATAGGCGAGAGAGACACTTTGAGACAAGAAATAAAAGGAGCGAGTTCAGCGAAAAAGTGTGCGCTCGGATATTACTCGACGACTTGCATTTTTTGTCTTCTTTCTTTTTCACTGCCTTGATGTTCCCCTCGTATTTTGCGAGTAAAATATGTACACAGTATGAATGCAAGTGCGTTTGTAGGATAATTGCATGTAAGTCCTTACTTCCGTAATTTGAAAAGGCTGGAATTTTAATATTTTGTGTGATAAGGTTGTTTCTAAACAAACAGTTTTTTTGAAATATTATGTACATACTTTTAGTTGAATATAACTTTTTTCAACAGAAAGCGTGGCATTAGGTCTCAAAAATACGTGAATAATAATTACTTCGATTTTCTAAGTTAAGAAATATCTTTTAATATCTCCTGCAGTGTGTGAATCATTTTAATAAATCGTTACAAAAATTTAATAGTTTTTTGCAAGATCATGAAATGATGATAAAATTTTAATGAAGTAATTTGTTGAAATTCTGTGGAAGATAGACTGTTGGTTATTAGGATATAATATATAGCATCATGTATACTTCATAATATTTTCCCAACCATTCATTCAAAATTCAAATTTCTCTATCAAAATAAGTAATGCATGACTGTGTTATAGTTTTACGCCTTTACTTTTTCATTATAAACTTCTTTCACTTGCTAAAGCCTATTAACATAAATAAGTACGTTAAAATTTTTTCTTAAAATCCGGCAAAACGAGACTTTGATCATTTTTTTTATTAATGCCATTGAAAAAAGCACCTTCGAATTACTCTAAAATAAATTATCGATTATGTTTTCATGTCCCACTCAATTTACAGTTGCCTGTCCAACTTAAACATGTCACTTTGCATATTATTGCTTGTGAGCTCTCTAGAAGTAATGAAAGAATTCGTATTTTGTACAACTACAATACAAATTTTAACGATAAAAAAGATAAGTAAGTTTACAAATGATAGTTTTGAATGTATTTTAATTTTCTATAGCGTAATTTTTCTTATTAAAAGTCGTTGAATTCCCTTTTAATAAAGTTTACCAGACAAATTTTATTAATTGACCCATTGATTACCTTCTAATAAACTTTTTTACGAAAATTATATAATAGAATGATACAACGATGAAATGTTTTTTTTTTTTAATTTTTGTTTATCCAATGTTATCAAAAAGTTGTAATAATTACTGCTTTTGAATTGATGTTCAGTTTTTGATAAGTTTTTCACGCGTGAATATGTAAAAGATGCAATGTACACTTAAACTTCACAAGTTAAGATTTTACTAAATCATGGGTAAAAAGTTACATTGAGCGTGAGATGAATCATGTATGCTTCTAGACTTGGATTTTTCAAGACATAGTCTTATCTCAAACGAAAAAATAAATTATTGAGCAACAACGACAGCCATTACATTTGTTGAGCGTCCAACAAGGAATCCATTCGAAGGAGCTTGTTTTTTTTGTCTCACGCATTATTAAATTTAATGATTACACGCACAAGTGTTACTTTTTTCTGATGATCAGTATGTAGTTGATGCGCAACATCGTTTTTTTTGACGGTTAAAAATAAAACCGAGAAAAGAACAGTCAGCAGTGTGATTCAAGCACCCAACATACATTTTCCGACAGGTGCAACGCGTCAAATGATGATACATGAGTATATTGATTCATATGTACAGTAAACACGCGTGGTATATATATCCATAGAGCATGATCACATCGGTACGTTATACTCATACACTGGTAATTGGATGAGTTAGACTTTGACAGTTTTTAAATATAGCGGCCGTAATATAATATTTTGAATGACTAAGCAAGTGTCAAAACATGAGTACCTTTACAATGGACAAAAGGCCAAGTGATTCGGTAGCAAACAAAATTATATAATTCAACCTTTGCGTGTACCTATGAACAATGATGTCCTATAGCTGATGGTGTCGCTTCAACGTTGAGCTCAAGTCTCGGTTATTTACACGAGCCTTTGTCGAAATACTATTCTTGTGATTGAAAACACAGAGTTTGGCAATCGTCATAATCGAATCAATAGCGTACATATGTATTATGTAATTGCGATTGGACCTGTCCTGACTCACTCGATCACTCCACTTTTTTGTTTTTTTTTTTTTTGTTTTTTTTTCAAACGAGCACAATGTACGCTGTTCTCGACAATGTATCCAAAACTCCTCGACCACTTGCAAAAAATCTGCACCAACACACGTTACATTAAAATTCTTCACTCGCAAAATTATTAAATTCAGAAATAATCGCCGACTGTGAATTTTTTTTAAAGCTGCGGCTCTGCGAGGCTTACCGGTCGACCGCTAAACTACCACTACTATACTGGCACTCGCGTTCCGCGGGCTTGCCGTTTCCGCTCAACGGCTCGACTGATGTACTCGCGCGGAACATACAAGCGTACACCTATATATACCAAGCATACATAGATGCATGCAGGGCTTGCAGGTTTTTTCACAGTCAAGTTGCACTCGATTGACCTTGCCCGCTAGGTGAGGTGTCTGTACTGTCTATCATATACAGTGCGTATACGTACAAAGTTGGAGTCAAGCTGGTCGAGGTATGTATACTTTACCGCTTTTTGCTAACTGCAATTTTTTGCTTTGCCGTGGACTCGCGGTTTAAATGAAGCGAAATATCATGTACACGTATATAGACAGTTTTTGTAAAATGTAGATGTGCATCTTCACCGCACGATTGAGCCGCGTAACTGTAAGCCACTGATAAAGAGGATATAAAGAGAAACAGCCTTTTTATATACATACTGTATGCCTTAAAGAGCTCTATGTGTGCGAAATCATTGCCCATTACTTCTCCGATTTACGGAAACGAAGGGATGTATGTACGTACTTTGCATGAACCTTGTATATTCAATTTAATAATGTCGTAAGTTGCACTGAAATAATTTTTACATGCTGCAATCAATTCAGTAAATTTCTTCAGATGTTTAGAGATTTTCATGAATCAGTTTATTGAGTTTAATAACTACCACATGGAGATACCTTTCAAATCAAAAATATTTAATTTGAAGTACTTTTTTCACACACCTTATATCTGTTGTATATGTTTTATAGGGCAAACTGACGCATTCTCATAATATATCGTGTTAATGCAATAAATTTCAATTATTAAACAACAAAAGAATAATGAATTTGTGATGGAAAAAATCAACAAGCATTACAAAATATTATAAAACATTTACTAAAACTAGTATATTGGTATTTAAAAATATTAAAATTTAAGAATTTAATTTCGTACTTTGCATACAATTTTATAAAATGAACATCAATGCTATGAATTGACCTACAAAACTTAATTTTTATCTTTTCTGAAGTTTAAACTCATAAATGCAAGTATGGGAATGTATTGAAATTGAAATACTTAACTAAAAACATGTGTACACCTGCTAGAAACTTTTTTATTAAATTCAATAAACATGTATTTCAAGCCAATTTCATGAACAGTTTTGAATTAAATACAAAAATACTGAATTTCAATTTAGAAAATACATCAATGTGTAAAAGTAATGATTATCTGTATTACAGTTGAAGTACATATTTCTTAGAACAAATAAGTACACATATGAAAAATTTGTTAAACCTTTGTAAACGGTCTAAAAAAATTCCTTGCACTGAACTTAAAATCATGTTTTATGTTTATAAGGTAAATTTGGGGGATAGTTAAAGAATATTTAGCTGACCCATCTATAATTAATTTAAAAAAATACTTATTAGATGATGTTTGGATACTATCAAAAATAACATTCAGAATCCCATTAATTTATTATGGAAAAAAAAACTTTTTTTATGAATTAAACTACGTGCTGCTCTACTTCCAAAGTTTACATACAAAATTTATATTTATAAGCCCACTGGGTTAAAGTTACGTCAACTTGAAATTATAAATATTATCTTCAAACTTAATATTGGTTATCAACTAAGCATGTATATATATATTATTTCATAATTACAAAAATATATATGTGTACATATACATGCTGCAACAGGAAAAATAGAAAAGTTAGCCGCACTGGTTGTCGAGCCGGGGACTTAATCACAACCTATTACTAAGAAATTTATCTTATCAACCTCTTGTCTAGTCACATATACATATATACAATGTAATATCAAAAAATTGTACATATCATCCAGTTCACCACTTTAAAATCAATAGCAGTTCAAAAAAACTAAGATTAAATATCAATTAAATATCAATTTAATGAGACACTACAAATGTTAAATACACGTTT